GTGGGGGGGGGGGGGGGGGGGGTTGGGGGGGGGGTGGGGGGACGCCTGGACTAGCTGGCTGTCCCAGCCTGGTCAGAGCACGAAGTGTCCTAGCAGATCACGGCCGCACTTGTGTAGAGTCTAAGACTCTGCTTCCTGGCGAGATGAGAAAAACACTTTGGGCATTTTCAAGTGCTTTTGTTAAAGAAATGGTTGCTCAGCCCTTTGGTGGTTGCTCGGGGCCTTGTGCTCGCTGGATTTGAGCAGGGCTGTCCTGGGGGAGAATAAACGTCTAAGTCAGAGTGAGACGGACCCTCGAGAGTTCAGCTGAGAGAGGTGGAGAGGATGTTTTAATGCGGGAGGCGACTGCAGAGTGGGCGTCCCAGGGCTTCCCTTGGGACCTTGGATCCTGCTCTGTAAGAGACCAGCGCGGCCCCTGGCACCGGGTGAGAGCCTGTCCTTTTGACGGCCCTGCAGGCTAACGTGTTACTGGACATACTTTGCTACCGTCTCCTCAAAGTGCCCCTCTCAGCCTCCCAACCCAAACACCAGGAGTTGTGGCTTGCATGAACTGTCTTGGGCCAGATTTTGTCTAGTTGCATTCTGCCCAATCTCAGAGTCTCAGCCTATTCACTTTTATTGCGATTCTTGATGTTTTGGTCTTATTGGACCCACCATTGTATATTCTATTCACCACACTTTCCTGTTGTTACTTGCTTTTCCTCAGGCCGTTTGCTATAATGAAGGAACTTTTTTTGTCCCATGTTTCCGCCCCTGGGGATTCGGAAGGTCTACAGAACCAGGATCTTTACAGTGGGATGGAAGTTTTCTCCCAGTTTGGTGAAATCTGGGACGTTTGAGGAAGTTAAGCGTCATCTGGGAAGAAAACGGAGGTCCAAAAAGGGGCATACCCAGAGTTGGGGCTGCACTGAGGCACCAGGAGCTGGGTTCCTGTCTCCCTGTCCTCTGGGGCATGTCCTCCACACAACCTGCTGAGTGTCCTCATGGGACCCACAGCGTGGGGCTCACTGGGGACTCTGTATCTGTGATGGTCTGTCCCCGCCCCCAGGGGGGCCAGTGGTGGGACTGAGCCTGGGGACCTCAGGTGGCTCCCATCAGCTTCCTCACCGTGCACACCACGTGCTGTCTGGCTCTATGCTTCCAAGGCTTGGGGATGGCTTCTGTGTTGGAGAAGTGCGTGTGTAAGGAGTTGGTTTTTATGCGGGGGTGGGTGAGTACGCCACGCTTGAGTGATGCTCTGGGGTAAATAGACTCTGTCCTGCTGCACGAACTCCTTTGCACCTTACCCCTGGGTCTCTGCACATCTTCTACAGAGGCTGTGGGCCTGCCACGCGCGCACGCACACACGCACACACACACGTGCGCGCGCGCGCGTGTGTGTGTGTGCACATGCGTGAGCACACATGCATGTGTGTCTGGATGCGAGCATGTATGTCTGTGTACATATGTGTTGTGTGTATCTCCGTGTATCTTTGTGGTCTGCTCTTGTGTTAATAGAGCTGACAAACACGTCTGACTGCTTTTGCTCCTGCTGGCCTGCTCCTGCGTCTGGTGACCCTGCCAAGAGCCACTGGAGCGACTGGGGTGTGGTTTGGGAGGTTGTGGGGAGTGGGCAGGGAGGGTGCCCTGAGGCCCTGGCAGCTCTGTGCCTGGCTCTGCCTCTCCCGCAGACACTCAGCACCAGCAAGGGGACATAGTCCCTCAGGCTTGGCTGGAGCTCAGGCCCCTTGCCCTGTGTTAGCCAAAAGCCCAGGGGGAGCAGGGGCCTCTCCCTCTTCCCGTACCCTCTGCTGTCTCACCTACAAGTGTCTGTCCTCAT